ACCTTCCTGTCGGCACAAGAGTTTAACCCATTATGCCACCAGTGGCTCTGGGATTCTTTGCCAAAGGTAGCTAAATGGCTTGAGCCACTCCTGCCCCAACATATCAACCCATGTGTGAGCAGTTTGAATAAGCCATAAAGTCTGTTGGAATACTTGGAAGGTACAAAATGCTGCAAGCAAGGATGGGAAGAAATGTGCCCATATAGCTAGAAGCTATCATGTTTTCATGACTCTACTGTCATAACTGCAAAACATGGTGAAGTTGCTTTTTTCAGACTATGGCTCCCAGAACTAAGTTGGCAGACTGGATAGAGGATTCTGGGAGCTATAGTACAAGGCCAGAATTTAGTTGGTGTCCTGTACAGTTATACTACTTTTTACAGGGTCACAAGGCAATAGCAAGGGAAAGCTGAACAGGTCCAACCAGGCTATTCCTACAAAGTTTTTTGTTGTTGTTGTTGCTGTTGTTGTTGTTTATGATTGCTACCTCTCCAGCCTTTATTTCTTCTGCTACTAATGCTCATAATGGCACCAACAGGACTCTAGTCAAAAATTTCAAGCTCTGAGTTTGCAAAACATTGTCCGCTCATTACAGAAACATAAAAGGGCAATAGATGCCCTCCTCTATTTTCCACTCCTGTTGGTTTTAATATACTTATAATTTCATCTCTGTTTTTTGCCTTCAGATAGAAAGATTCAATCATTTATGCCAGAATAGCAAATGGAGATGCGTTTCACTTTACCATACATTTCCACTCATTTTTAAATGGTGTCGATTTAAATGCAGATTTCTCTCATGTGAAGCTTGGAAGGAAGGGTGTTTAATTTAAATGTTAATAGAAGGGTAAACTTCAAAATAATAAAAAGAAATATAAAAAATTCTGTATGCAAAAGATCACTCCATTGGAATAGTTAATATCTTTTTAAGCTGCTTCCTCTTTCCTTGTTCTCCTGCTGGCAATCTGTCTTATATTAAATGGTGTTTTTTTTATAAAAAGGATACATCTTTGGAAATGCTTAAATTAAAGTGTTTAATGCTGCGGTAATGCAGGAGGTTTGAGCAGAGGCCTGAGGTGCTGATAACGGAGAGATCTCATACTTCCATTTCTGGCTGGTTCCTTAGCAGCCCATTCATCAAAATAGCTCTTCTGAAAGCTTTACATGATTATTTTCTGGTTGCACAGCATAATGTTCTGAAGGAAGGAAGAACAGATAGAGAATATCTATTCAGATGGCCTTCAGAATATTCTCTCGATTAAATACCAGGAGGGAGCATGGAGGGGGAGGGACACATATATTTAGGACAGAAGCAAGCCAAGGATTGACTGAGATCGACTAATAGATTGCTGGATTATATGTGGTTCTTTGCAAATGTTGCCAATCCCCACTTCTTTAATAACAGTTAAAAAAACTTTATTGCGACCTCTGTATTAGGCTGTTTATTATCCCTGACCTTTGACTTACTATCCTTGTTGTTGATTACTATCTTTAAAAATTCTGGCTATGAATGTTTGTGTTTCATTGCTCCTCATCTATGAAATGGAACCAATATCTTCTGAATAGTTTATCAACATGGTACAGTGTCTCATTATTGGATTATAATTTTGTGTGAGTCATACTCTCAGTCCCAAAAAAGTATGCAATAAATTCACCTTAGGGTTGGAGTAAATCAGAAAAACTTAAAGACATATAACAACAACAACAACAACAACAACAATACTAATAATATGCCTTTATGTGTTTATGGCTGCTTCCAGATAGAACTAAAATCTGCACCAAAGCAGGTTTTAAAAACCCGCTTCAGTGGGAATTTCAGTCGCAAAAAAACCCCAGGCTTTCCCAGGGTGTGTGTTGCAGCCACCTCGAAGCCCCCCAAGTTTGCTTTAAAAGTTAAGTGAAATGTACCTGACCATACTTTTTCTGCTTGTGCCAGGAGACCCGGGGGGGGGGGGGGGGGGGGGGGGGGGGTGAGGAGAAAAATCCAAGACGGCAAGAGGAGGAAAGTTATGGAGGCCAGGAATGTTTTACTTAACTTTTAGGGGTAAATGGGGGTCTGGGAAGGAGGTGATGGGTGCTATCCTGCTCCTTTGGGCTTTTGGAAGCCTGAAGAAGCAAAATGGCTGTAGGGACTCACCCCTGGGTAGTATGTAAACGAAAGCCTTTAATGCACATCAGTGCTCTGTGGTTTGTATAATCATCATCTGGGCCTTAACCTGGTTCCAAGATGCAATAATTTGCACAGCAAAACTGTTCCCTTCAGTACCAGTTTGAATGCATTAAGATATTTACTGTAGGAATCTCAGTGTAATTCTATGTCAACGTCCAGTGGTATTACCATGTAGAGCAGTGGTTCTCAACCTGTGGGTCCCCAGAGGTTTTTGGCTTCAACTCCCAGAAATCATAACAGCTGGTAAACTGGCTTGCATTTCTAGGAGTTGTAGGCCAAAACACCTGGGCACCCACAGGTTGAGAACCATTGATGTAGAGTGTGATTTATCTTGGGAATTTTGTCATCTGATTGTACTTTGATATCATAATATGTTGCTGTACAAAATGTTGCAGTGGAGAGTCTCATAACCCCGCAACATTTCACAGCAATGGGGAACAAGTGGGTCCTGTGTTGCAACCAGAGACTGCCAAGGGCAGGGGGAATAGGGGACTGCCATTCCATGTTGCTGGGATGCCTGAATTTGATGGATGTGGGATGGCAGCAAGGAGAGTTGTGGGTAAAGTATTGAAGCAGAATTTGGGCTTTCCTTTTACTCTTGATAACATGGGGCAAGGCTGAATTAAGATGAAACTGATCCTAATCTACACTGACCATGGCAGGGGGTTGAACTGGCTGGCCCTTGTGTTCTCTTCCAACTTTATGATTCTAAGTGGTCTTTGTAGATGAGGCATGAGAAGTCCCAGGAAGCATCCAGTTTGAAATACGAAGACATACATATCTTTATTGCTCAATCTTTATTGGGATGAAACTTATGTACTTGGGGAAGGGACAGAGAAGCCAAAGATGTATATGCTGGGAATACTTCAGATTCTCTCCCATTGGTAAAAAAAAAAAAAGATTGGAAAGAATGAACAGTCTGTGGTACACATACTCCTCACTTCCAGGTCAGCAAGAGGATGACACAGTTAGGCAACGTTTCTGGAACACTGTATCCCAAAGGGCCCTGTTTCCCTGCCATTGGCTGCCACTCAAAATAGCCATCTTCATCTGGAATGCAGGAAATGCTGATTACACTGCATTGGGACTCCTTGGCTTCAGAGACCCACCAGGTTCCTTGCTGTTCTGTGCTACAATGTTAGCAGAGGCAAGCTTCTTTTCTCCCTGACCTCCTTCTTCCTAAATAGCTGGAGGGTGCTGATTCAGCGCTACACTACTACTACACATGCACTCATTTCCCATTGGAAGAAGTGCTGCTCTGAATAGATATCTCCTTTGCATTGACATTTCTGCACAGTCTCTTGCGACAAGAGAGGAATGCCAGCAAAATACAGAGTGTGTGGGGTGGGCAGGGGGATCTGTTCAGACAACCAGCTTGTGATTTCTCTTTTACACCATTTGCAAGTGGTCATTTACAAGTGGTTCTTTTGGTAACAGTTATGCAAAGAAATGTCTACAAACAGGGGGCTGTAATTAATGTTTTTCTTATGTGTGTGTGTAAAGAATACTTAACAATACAGCATTGGGAATAGGGAGAGTTGTAGAGGGTTAGACTTGTTACTTGGCTATCACAAAAACTAGTAAAATGTTGTCATACCTCAAAGAGGAATCAATTCATTACACCGCATATGCTTGTGTAGTTCACTTCCTGTAACATTGTCATATCCCCTTTTTACAGATCTGGGCTAATAATGCAAAATAATCTAATTGGCATTGTAATTATGTAAATGTGGCGCATCAATAGTTTCAACCACTGTAACTTTCCTTTGTATTTTTCCCCCCTTACAACTGCAACTGATTTGTCCTGGATTTGAAATGGAAAGATTCAATCTCACTTGGTCATGTAATAAAATAGGCCTCCACAAACTAGGGTGCATCTCTAACTATAGACTTAATGTGGTTTGACACTATTTTAAATGCCATAGGTTGATGCTATGCAATCATGGATGTTGTAGTTTGGTGACACATCAGCACATTTGGCAGAGACAGCAAAAACTTTGGTAAAATTGCAACTCCCATGATTCCAAATAGCCAGTTGAAGTGGCATCAAGCTGCAGTAATTCTACAGTGTTGATGCAATACTGTGATTATTTCTCAGGATCTATTTATATTGCATTGTTAGATTACTTTTAAATCTAAAACTACATGTACAGCAGAGTCTCGCTTATCCAACATAAACATTAGCTAAGCGAAAATGTTAGATAATAAGGAGGGATTAAGGAAAAGCCTATTAAACATCAAATTATGTTATGATTTTGCAAATGACGTTCCATGCAGTCATGCCGGCCACATGATCTTGGAGGTGTCTATGGACAACGCCAGCTCTTCGGTTTAGAAATGGAGATGAGCACCAACCCCCAGAGTCGGTCACGATGGGTCGTAATGTCAGGGAAAAAACATTACCTTTACCTTTGCAAATTGAGCACCAAAACATCATGTATTCCAACACGTCATCAGAAAAAGCAGCTCAGTACACAGTAACATTATGTAGTAATTACTGTATTTACAAATTTAGCATCAAAACATCGCAATGCATTGAACAGCTGTGGATCCAGGCAGGAGGCATACTGCGTCGGATAATGCAGAACGTTGGATGGGCGAAGGTTGGATAAGCGAGACTCTACTGTATATAAGATATATATTTTTCAAGATTATATGAAGTGATGTTTATTACATTGTGTTTTGGCCTATTTATATTTTCTGAGATTAAAAGAAAATTGTTACACTTCTGATAGAATACCATATGCTGAGGACTGAAGACACATGGTCAAAATTCGGGTGGGAATCGTGAGCCTGCATATATTTTAACAGGATTCTTTCTCTCTCTTTTCAGACCTGCGCAGAATGACAGCTGGTTTCATGGGCATGGCCGTAGCCATCATCCTCTTTGGGTGGATTATCGGGGTGCTGGGCTGCTGCTGGGATCGAGGCCTTATGCAGTATGTGGCAGGACTTCTCTTCCTAATGGGAGGTAAGGGGAAACCGTTAACAAAGAAATACCATTTTGTTTCTGCAAATACAGTATATACAAATGCTAGTTTCAAAGTGGCTTGAAACCTAGAGTGCCTCTACACTCTAGAATTAATGCAGTTTGACCCCACTTTTGATTGCAATGGCTCAAAGCTAGGAATTATGAGTTGTAGTTTGGTGACGTACCAGCAGTCTCTGGCAGATGAACACCATGTAAAACTGCAACCCGCATGATCCGATAACATTGCGCCATAGAAGTTAAAATGGTGACAAACTGCATCAATTTTACAGTGTAGATGGACCTCTCATCTGATTTTGATCTTTCAGACAAACTGTTTAAAGACTGGTGTGGCAAATCAGAACTTGGAAATAATTTATTCAAATTTAATTTGATACCCCTAAATAGCAAACATTTCCAGTGCTGTTTTAAAGTATATTATTTTTATCATGAAAAGCCAAAAATGTTATTTTTTAGTAATAGTTAACGCTTCTTGTTAATTTGATTTGCAACTGATTGTTTTTCATAATTTCAAATGCTTGTTCATAATTGAATGAAAAGCCCCAGGTGGTGCAGTGGGTTAAACCCCTGTGCCGGCAGGACTGAAGACCGACAGGTTGCAGGTTCAAATCCGGCAAGAGGCAGATGAGCTCCCTCTATCAGCTCCAGCTCCTCATATGGGGACATGAGAGAAGCCTCCCACAAGGATGATAAAATCATCAAATCATCCGGGCGTCCCCTGCACAACGTCCTTGCAGACGACCAATTCTCTCACACCAGAAGCGACTTGCAGTTTCTCAAGTCGCTCCTGACATGACAAAAAAAATTGAATGGCCTACCTAATAGACCATTCTGAATCTGTGGTTTTAACTTTTTTACTTTTTCTTAATGTTTGACCATTAATAAATTGAATTTATTTATTTATTTTGTGTGTCAGAAGCAATTTGAGAAACTGCAAGTTGCTTCTGATGTGAGATGGGCTAACTTTGGCCCTCCAGCTGTTTTCGACTTCAGCTCCCACAATTTGTAACAGCTGGTAGCTGTTAGGAATTGTGGGAGTTAAAGTCCAAAACACCTGGAGTTTGCCCATGCCTGCTATATAGAATGGTAACCCAAATGGCTTACGGAGGAAATTAAGTAAAAGGAGATATTTCAGAGTTTCCTATTTCATGTTTGTCTTAAGTCACCTCTCATTTGTTGAAGTTACAAAATAAGTCAAACTTAAACAGAAAGGTCATAAAAAAGGTAAAGAGTTCCATATAAATCAAACATAGAAGTTATCCTTCTGGTGGAGATTTGAAAAGTTTCAGAAAGCCTTCTTGAATCTCCCCATATTATTCTCAAGTTACTTTCAAGTACAGTTGTAAACTAAATAAAGATCTTTTAATCAACTAACTGGCTTTTAACTATATAATCAGCTAATTACAAACTGCAATGTTTGAATAAACATACTATTTTGGGAATCACAGCTGACTGGAGTTGATTGTTCTTTGATGGAAAATGTTGGTCAAATCAACAATCCATTCCCTGCCTAGGAAAACCACTTTTATTTTGTTGAAGGCTTTCATGGCCGGAATCACTGGGTTGCTGTAGGTTTTCCGGGCTGTATAGCCATGTTCCAGAAGCATTCTCTCCTGATATTTCACCTGCATCTATGGCAAGCATCCTCAGAGGTTGTGAGATCTGTTGGAAACTAGGATAAGTGAGGTTTATATATCTGTGGAAAGTCCAGGGTGGGAGAAAGAACTCTTGTCTGTTTGAGGTAGGTGTGAATGCTTCAATTGGCCACCTTGATTAGCATTTACTGGCCTAACAGTTTCAAGGCGTGGCTTCTTACTGCCTGGGGGAGTKCTTTGTTGGGAGGTGGATTTGGGAAATAGCAGGCATTGYCCCCATCTACATTGCCATATAATGCAGTTTGAAATGACATTATARYGTAAGTGTAGAATCCTATAATGCCGTTTAACTGCATTGAYCTTCGTTATAAGAGTCTACATTCACCATATAATGCAGTTCAAAATGGTATTATATGGTAATGTAGTTGGGGTCATTGTTGTAATTCTCTTTTGCTCATAACAAGGAGTGCATGTGTGTCATGATTCTTCAAGTGTGCTAAAATCTGATTTATGAGAAGCKAACCATCCTTTTTGCAATCCATTAGTTTTTGGGTCTCATTTTTATCCTGATATGTTTAAGACTGAGCAACACCTGCTGAAATCTCATGCACCAAAGGCATTAGTGTTTGTAAAATTGCTAAAGGTTGGAGGCCATCAGTGTTTTGTATAGCTTCTAATTCCTCATCATGAGTAGGAAAGCCAGAATAATTATGTAAAATAGAAAAAAATGCAGAAAAACATTATGCAAATTGCCTCAGCTTGAATAATGTATAGTCACAGTATTCAACTGTGACTGACACTTAGCTCAGAATCGAGATTGTCTGCTGATATATATATATATATATATATATATATATATATATATATATATATCAATCAGTAGACATGAGAATATATATATATATATAGCAGTAGACATGAGAGTCTTATGTTGGATAAGCATAGCTGTATAAGCAGAGATTTCTCTCTTCCTCCAGCACACCTTGCGCATGGATGCTGATGTTCAATTTTAGAGAATAATGTCCTTCTCAAGCTTCTATGCTCCCATTAACTGACTGCTAGCGTGAGCATTTCTTTATGCAAATGGGCCAGCAAACAACCATATGGATGATATTTATGAGCAACTTGCCTTAAATATATCCTCCTCCCCCCCCCCCCCCCCCCCCCCGCCTTGTGCAACCTGATTTAGGAAAAGCAAAATATATAGATATGCATTAAAGGTGGGCAGCTGGATCAATTTTCCACCCCATCTCCGTAGACATCAGCTGCAACTGAGCACACCCGAATGCCTTGCTTTCCTTCTTTTTGTCCTTCAACATCATGACTGGAAGTGACATAAGCTAACTTCTTGCCACCATTTTGGGGGAGCAAGAGTGGGAAAGGTTATTTGAGAGGGGAGTGGGATTGTGAGAAGGTTGGAAGGTGTTTTGTTGTTGTTGCATGCATGCAACTGTGTAAAATATTCCAGTGATTTTTACCCATAAAACAGCATACCGTTTTCAGATGTAGGCATTCAAGTGGCTTTGGGGCCTATAGTGGAACATAACATCTATGAAACGTATGAGTTATATTTTCATCACCTCAATATACATGCATAAAAACTTTTTTAAAACTATGAAAATCAGTCATATCAAAGGCTTTCATGGCCGGAATCACTGGAGTGTTGTTTGATTTTTTAACTGTATAGTTGTGTTCTAGCAGCATTTTCTCCTGGTGTTTTGCCTGCATCTCTGACTGGGATCTTCAGAGGATCAGCTCTTCTGAAGATGTCAGCCAGAGATGCAGATGAAAATCAAGAGAAAATGCTGCTAGAACATGACCATACAGCCTGGAAACCACAACACTCCTATGAAAAACATATTTTGTTGAGAGACCCTAATAAGCTGCAAGATTGCTTATATCTATATAATTCAGAAGATTGTTCTAGTGGTTATGACTATAAATAGGACTCCACATTTAGATAGATTCAGTGGTGACTGCAACTTCCATGTTAGTGGAACAACGAAACTACTCCACATCTTGTCTTAAGCTTTAAAGAAGCTCTCCAAGGTCCTGAACCCAATTCCTAAAGAGTTTCATTTAAAGCAGTGGTTCCCAGCCTGTGGGTCGAAGCACACTGGAGAGCCCTGAGACCTAAAATAAGGTCCGTGGCTCAGGATCATTAAATATGGTTTTATGTGGGTGAGCAGATGGCAACTACTGGGGGGCACATGTTCTGTATCAGAAACTAGAGCCAATGTGGTCTATCCAATTCAATTTTCTGAATCAGCACCCCAAATAACCAAACCGAATCTAACATTGGCCAAAAGCTGATTTGTAACCGTCTTGGTAGTAATGTTGGAGAGTGGTCCCTGGTCAAAGTGGTCCCTGGTCAAAAAAAGGTTGGGAACTACTGATTTAAAGCTAGCAAAAATCTGGAGAGGTTTCACCAGCCCACTACTGCAGGAATAGCTAGCCATCAGTGGGCATATAAGATAAGCACAAGCAAAAACAAGTAAACCATAAAATTAAAAGTAGAGAACCCATGGCTCTGCAGAGCCCTCTACCAAGGAGCCCAACCAGGCATGTAGCCGGGGGAGGGGGGGTGAGGGGCTTCAGCCCCCCCCCCCGAAATTCTCATGGTGGTTCGCAAAAGGCCTTACTGGTGCATTATTTAAACTGTTATGTTTATTCATATCATGATCTGATCACCATACTCAATATATCCCATATGCATGGGGGTATTGGGGTAACAATACAAAAGGTTGCTAGGGTAGACCCTCTTTCACTCAGACTCACCCCCCCCCCCCCCCCCCCCCCGAATCAAAATCCTGGCTATGGGCCTGAGCCCAACCTAACTAATGAGATAGGAATGATAGGATATATAAAACAACAATAGCTGGAGAGTTGCAGGTTTTCATTCCTAAATAAGTCTACTCTAGCCTTAAGATTAGAAACACAGGAATGTAGTGGTTTAAGTGTTGGACTATGACTTCAAAGACCAGTGTTTGAATTTCTGCTTCACTATGGAAACCCATCTTGGGAAGGTCACACTTTCCCAACCTCAGAGAAATGCTCTCTGAATAAACCTTGCTAAGACAATCCTGTGAGTCAGCTCTCTTAAGAGTTGTCATAAATTGAAACACTTTGACATTAATAGCAATAAAACCAAATGAAGATCTGGCCATTTTAAAAAACATTAGATGATTAGAACATGCCAGGATTTTTTTCACAGGGAATAATCCACATTTTTAAACCCTATAAAATGAGAAAAAATGGATTAATAGAAGAAATTGTTCTTTCAACATTATTGGACTTTATGAACTTCGTCATTTTAGAACAGTTTTGGTGCTATTGGGGATGGCATGCCCAACACATGCATGGGTGTTTGGTACCCAGGAGAACAGA